AATCACTACTTGTCTTCTCTGTGTTGCACAGCCCTCCCCTTTCCCCCTCCCCCCACATTATACATGCTAATCATAATACCCCCTTTCTTCTCCCCCCTCCCTTATCCCTCCCTACCCACCCATTCTCTTCAGTCTCTTTCCCTTTGGTAACTGTTAGTCCATTCTTGGGTTCTGTGATTCTGCTGCTGTTTTGTTCCTTCAGTTTTTCTTTTGTTCTTATACTCCACAGATGAGTGAAATCATTTGGTATTTGTCTTTCTCCGCTTGGCTTATTTCACTGAGCATAATTGGTTCCTTAATTCTTAATTTGAGGAGTCTCTTTTCCATTCTGCTGTGTCTATCTAAGGTACCTTACCATGTGTCATTAAGTGTGATACAGAGAAATAAGCCAGGTGTTCCAGATGAGGGTTGGACCAGAGTTGAAGAAAGTATAAACTTCCACATTAGAATACCATATTTCTATTAATGTAGTCTAGGATTGTACTAACCTTTTGGACACCTGCCTCTGTCCAGCTATATTTCTTTCTTGTGCATTTGTAGTTTTATTCTCAAGTATAATTTATAGAGCCATTGTTAATTTTTCTGACTCTGGTTAACTAATATTTTTATTTGGTGTGTTCTAGCCTTTTGAAATCCTGTTTTTTTATTAGCTGTCTTTACCAATCCCAGATTACTCTAGATTGGATCTTACAAGTGGTTTCAGTCTGTTGTTTATAAATTTGTCAGTAGGACAGAGCCCTATATCACTATAGTAGAAAGATTATTTCTCTATTTATTAGCAATCTTTGGGTTGGTTTATTCAGTAGATTTATAAGCTTATGTCACATAATTTTTTTATTATGGTATCATTGATATACAGTCTTATGAAAGTTTCACATGAGCAACATGGTGGTTACAGCAATCACCCATATTATCAAGCCCCCCGCCATTATAGTCACTGTTCATCAGTTTAGTAAGAGGCTATAGAGTCACTACTTGCCTTCTCCATGCTATACTGCCTTCCCTGTGTCACATAATACTTTTAAGCCTATATTTTTTCACCTTGGTCTCAGTGTTGTCATGGAAAGATTTCAGATGTAATTATGAAATTTGGATCACAAAATGTACACACCTAGCAATTTTTTTGAAATAGCCTCTAATCTGTGTCAGGAGAGAAAATGAAGTTGGAATCCATTCTTCTAGACATGCTTTATAAAGCTTATGTTTTATATATATTCATATCTATACACACATGTGTATGTATGTATATATGTATGTACATATGGATATAGCTGAATGAGTTTGTATGTATTATATGCTTATACCAACTTCTTTTACATTTGCATAGAAGTGGGAACAAGATCCTGAAACTTTCCTGATTATTATAAAGGGAGCTGGTGGAAAGGCTTTTTGTGCTGGGGGTGATATCAAAGGTAAAAACATTTTTCCTTCTCATCAAAATGCTTTTATTTCCCAGTAGAATTAATAAAGTATCAGTAAATTTTTGTAGTACTTCATAATTTACTATACTTTTGAATTTTTTTGTTGTTGTTAACAAGTTAATACATTCCTATGTGGTTAATTTAGAAAAAGGAAACATTTTTAAATTAACGTGTTGTGTTTAGTACTAGAAAAATGAGCATAGTGAATTTTTTTTTTAACTATACATATGCCCTTCAGATATCTTATCTCTCCCTCTCCCTGAGTCATTTTAAATAAACGCTCAGTTATTGTATGTGAGTCCACTTTTTATTTCAGAATAGCTGATACTAAGCAGTTCAGTTTCTTACATAGGCTGATAATCTGGCCATATTGTGACTTGCCATTCTCCATATGATATGCTCTCACATATTTCTGAGACTTTACCTGTACGTTCCTACTATTCATGATCCCAAAGCAGAAATGTACTCAATTATAATATTTGTTTTACTATTATATAGCCAATATATTTTTACATGTGTTTATGTAAACATGCTGAGATTGAGATAAATAAAAAAATTAATTCTCCTTATCTTTCTAAATTTTTAGGCCAATTTGTACACATTTAACTTAGAAAAAATATTTATTCTCAGGATCCAAGTCATATACATATATTATCACCACCAGTTGCCAGTGTTTTATATATATTGAAAACTGTTTTAACATTTTGTGTTTTGTTTCTTATGGTTGGTAGAGTCCAGGGTTTTTTTCCTTGTATTTTTATTTTGTGTATTTGTTTGTTTCTATTAAGTCAATTATGTTTGGGTTGATCTGTTTACCAAGTTTATAACTTTATGTAAACCATTATATTTGGAATAGGAAAAAAACAAGCTTGATTCAAGATATAATTTCATACACCCATTAAATGTAAAGTAACTGAGTCTTAAAATTATAGTTTTAGTTTTCTATTGCTTAGACTAATTTTTTGACTGAATTGGCTTTGAATTTACTATTTTGCCCACAGCATGAATATTTTTTAAATGTTGTTTTTCAGCCTGGAATTAACTTGTCCTCTGGAGTTGGGCCTATGATCTTGCCAGTTTAAAGATGGGCAGAGCCTTATGTATTCATTTTAGCTTTTATAAGCTATTTTTTGCATATAGGCCTAACTTTATATTGATGTTTGGAAATAATTACAAATTTTAGAATTATTCTAGTTTACATATGTAAAGCAATGGATTTCAATCCAGGAAATTTAGTTTCCTTTAAAGATTATATTCCAACATGATAAGTGGCCAGGTACTCAGAAAAAATTTTTTTAAATGATATGAACTTCCTTTAATTTTATCTTAATGGAACTAATTGATTAGAATAAAATTAAAAAGAAATCTAAAATCTTTGGGGTAAAAGAGCTTATTCCATAGGCAATACAATTTACATTTCTTTCCTTTTAGAATTGCTAACCAGTGATAAGGGCTGGAAACAAGAAAACAGATGAGGGTTTTTTTTTTAAATATAACAGTGAGAGCCTCAGAATGACAAAATTAGGTATCAAATCTTTCTTTTAAAAACCAAGAAAAGAAGTCAGCATTTGAAACATTCTGAAGGAAGGTATGTCAGAGTTCTAGAGTTAGTCTGAAAACCTACAGTCAGCAAGTTTTATTAAACTTTCCCATAGAAGAAGAAAACATGTATATGTTATACATTTAATTTGTATATTAGTAGATTATTCTCATAGGAGCTAAAGACAGGAAAGGCATATGAGCTTGTATATAGAAGTGAAAGGCTTGATAGTAGTCTTGACATTGACTGGAGTTAGGAGTACAGTAGATGTGAACTCTGGATAATAGGAAATTGTAACAAAAGAAACTATTTGATAGCATTTCTTAGATATTTACCGAGTACCAGTTTATTAAGCTAAACAGAAGTGTGCTGTAGTAACATCTTGTGAGGAGTTATATTTCCATTGATGTTATTAATAAATAAGGATATTATTACCTTATTTACCTCTCTAGCCTTACTGTTAACCATTTTCTTTTAGTATTTTAAAACTACTTATTTCTTGATTTTATTCTTTCCTGCCTTTGTGCCTTTGTAGGTACTCTTTCTCTACTCAGAACTTTTCCCTCTATCATTTTCTAGGATATCCTTACCTATTTTTTAGACAGGGTTCAAGACTTCTTTCTTCTGGGAAGCCTTCTTTTGATTACACTCTCCTCCCATTCCCTCAACATTCCAACCACAGAGTGGGCATAGCACAATGAGTGTATTTTTGTAGTCTATTTTATTAGTCTGAACTCAAGGGCAGACATCTTGTATTGCTGTTTTGTTTATCCGCAGCACCTAAAACAGTGTGTGGTACCTAATAGATGCTCAGTAAGTGTTTCATGGTGAAATGAATGTGGCAGAAATATTTAACTAGATGGAATATACTGTAGAACTGTATGTGTGCGCAGGCATACATATATGTGCATATATTTCTGTGTGCATGTATATATAACATACTTTGTGTTGATATATTACCAAAGAAAACATATATCCAGCAAATGTTTCTTCAGGTGCCACTGAAAATAGTCAAAAGAAAATGTATTTTGTAGCAATATGTATCTTTTAGTTCAAGTATAACATGTTGTAAAAAGTTCTTAAGAATTTTTGCCTTGAACATCCAAATTAATAGGAAAGAACTAAAATTGTTACTATCTGCAGATGACACTATACAATATATAGAGAACCCTAAAGACTCCACCAAAAAACTATTAGAGTTAATAAATTAATGCAGTAAACTTGCAGGATACAAAGTCAATGTGCAGAAATCTGTTACATTTCTATATACAAATAACTTAAAGAGTGAAATTAGGAAAATGATCCCATTTACAATTGCACCAGAAAGAATAAAATACACAAGAATAAATATAACCAAAGAAGTAAAAGACCTGTACTCTGAAAACCGTAAGACAGTGATGAAAGAAATTTAAGAAGACACGAATAAATGAAAGCGATCCCATGCTCATGAATAGGAAGAATTAATATTAAAATGGTCATACTGCCCAAAGTAATCTACAGATTCAGTACAATTCCCATTAAAATACCAATGATATTTTTCACTGAACAAGAGCAACTGATCCTAAATTTGTATGGAACCACATAAGACCCTGAATAGCCAAAGCAATCGAGAAAGTAGAACAAACCTAAAGGTATGCTTCCTGATTTCGAACTATCCTTTAAAGCTTCAGTAATCTAAACAGCATGGTATTGG